AGTGGAAATAACAAATATATTCCTCTTTCAGCAGAAAAGAAGGAACAAGCTAAACTGCAGCTTAAGACCGAATACAGAATTTTATTTCAGAAGCCCGCCACAATCCACAACCACAACTGAGACAAAATCAACAGCATTATACCAACCTTCGCAAATACATTATACCAACCCTTAACTTTATAATTACGTATTTCTAATGGTGCTTTACTCCCTCTGGAGGTCAAAAGTAGAACAGAATGAACAAAAGTACAGAAGGGTACCAAAATTACATCAGAAGAATGCAGAAATGTACTGTATGCTTAGAGGAATGCTCTCAAATTAAGGCTATATTACACAGAAGCAGGTTCCATGGAAATCAAGTCACCCCAGTCCAGTCTAGAACACTAGGATCGCCAAGTGTGTGCTTATACAGATGGCTCTGATGGGGCTTCCCAGAGATGGGGACTTGAGTCACGTGACTCGCTGTCAAGTCAGACTTGAGTAGCACCAGAGAATAACCCCTGAATGGGGTTATTCTCTCCACGACTCAAACTCAATGAGTGATTTGAAATCCTTTTTCTTCTGGGGGGAAAAGCTTGTTTTCATAGAGACGTGGATCTGGGGCTTGGGACTTGATACCAAAGATTCAGACTTGGGACATGGATCCCAAAGTCATACAGGAAGGTTTCTCATCATAATTCTGTTCTTATTATTTTCTATATTCAGCTACAACAAACTATAGAAAGCTATAACCTATTTTGGTATCATTTTGTAAACAGAAGTCAAAGCAGCTTTTTTTCAATGTAGAGATAAAATTTATCAGCTGCTTATGTCTGAAGATGAGGTGCTGATAATTTTATGGCTAAACTAACAACTCAGCTTGACTCTTTTACAATGGCAGCATGTAAGAATGCAGACACATAAGTGAGGAGAACCACAACTATGGGCATTACATGGATGGCTACATAAGAACCCAGTCATGAGAAATTAGACTCACCATGACATATGCATTTAACGACCCATATTTAAAAAGCAATGAGGCATGAGCACAGAAGGTCAGCTCAAACATGACCCTACGATACCCAAGACGGACAGGTCATAGTGGAGAGTTCTGACTAAACGCAATCCATCTGGAGCAGGAACTGGCAAGCCACTACAGTATCTTTGCCAAGAAAACCCTATGGACAGAAACAACAGGCTAAAAGATATGACGCTGGAAGATGAGCCCCTAAGATGGGAAGGCGTCCAACAGGCTACTGAAGAAGAGCGGAGGACAAGGACAAGTAGGTCCAGAGCTAATGAATTGGTTGGGTCAAAGCCGAAAGGATGCTCAGATGCCTGGAAGTGAAAGGAAAGTCCAATGCTGCAAAAAAAAATGTTGCACAGGAACCTAGAATGTAAGATCTATGAACCTTGGAAAGCTGGATGTGGTCAAACAGGAGATATCAATAATAAACATTGACATCCTGGGCATCAGTGAACTAAAATGGACAGGAATGGGCGAATTCAGTTTAAGATGATTATCATATCTACTATTGTGGGCAAGAATCCCGTAGAAGGAATGGAGTAGCCCTCATAGTCAGGGTTAGAACTGGATAAGGAACAACTGGTTGGTTCAAAATTAGGAAAGGAGTACAACAAGGCTGTATATTGTCTCCCTGCTTATCTAACTTATTTGCAGACTACATCATGCAAAAGACAGGACTGGAGGAATCCCAATCCAGAATTAAGTTTGCCAGAAGAAATATTAACAAACTCCAATATGCAGATGATACCACTCTGAGGACAGAAAGTGAGGAGGAATTAAAGAACCTCTTAATGAGGGTGAAAGAGGAGAGTGCAAAAAATGGTGTGAACCTTAACATCAAAAAAACTAAGATCATGGCCACTTGTCCCATCACCTCCTGGCAGACAGACAGGCAAGATATGGAGACAGTGACAAATTTTACTTTTTTGGGCTCCATGATCACTGCAGATGGTGACAGCAGCCACAAAATTAAAAGACGCCTGCTTCTTGGGAGGAAAGCAATGACAAAACTAGACAGCA